TATATATATATATATATATATATATATATATATATATATATTCTTTGATCATAAGGACATTATATTGTACATAAAAATGCCTTACTATACAAGTATGCACGCAATGTCATACTTCCTTGTTCTGACTTGTACAGCAAGGAAATATTTAGCATATTGATGTTTAAATTGGTCTGTCGTACTAATAAACTTCTATGATTTGCTGAAGACCAGTAATTATGCCAGTGTAAAACTTTCATTTTAATTTCAAATAGTTGTTTAAGTGTTTACGAAACACCATGGATGTACGTTCTCTTCACGTTGCTGGGTTTTCATGTAGAACAAATTCACATGACTTGTTAAGATAGTTTCATGATGCGAGATTAAGATGCGTGCTTTGTGCATAGAACTGACATAATCAGCTGGCCTCTGGAAGAGGCTAGTGTACCTAAAAGTTAAACCTTAATCTTGACAGTCCTGTCACACGTTATTCAAAATGTATCATTTTTGCAACATAAAACACCTCTGCCTGCCAGTAGATTATAAAATTTGATTTATCTATTATGACAGTGAGAACAATTAATTGTGAAAATAATCCTTCAGAAGCAAAGGTTACTAAGTGTATGCCCTCAGCGCCACACTTCCTTCTTCTAATTGGTACAATAAGGAACTATTTAACATGAGCGTACATTAGTCTGTCGTACTAAAATACCTTAATGATATACTCCTGCTTCTTCACGTTGTCAAAGTAAACTACTCTATTTTCAGGTAGTTGTTTATGTCAGTGAAGCAATATGGATACATGTTTTCTTGGCGTGCCTGGGTTTCCTGTAGCAACAGAAAAACAGCACTTGTTGAGATATTTTCATAAAGTGAGAGTAAGCTCGTTATGCCTATAAATAGTATTAAGTTTGTGCATAGATTTGTTGACACTTATCTTAAACAATTTGTGCGGTGGAATAATCGAATCAAAACAGATTTACTGCATTGTCAGATATACCAGCTGGGACTCTTTCTTGTCACATTGTGCATTGACAGCACCGTGTGGCGAGATGTAGGATGTCTGAGAGGATGTGTGATTAATAAATAAGGAATATATCACAGCATATGCACTAAGAGACGGATTAGAAAATAGTTAAAAGTTTCCATCTAGTGCAGTTGTGTTAATGTGATTTATTATGAATCACAACGAAGACATTAAACACCTTAAAGGTATGTTACATGCACGTTACGTTGCCAATGTAGACAAATCATCCTATTTTCAAGCAGTTGTTTATGTCAGTGAAAAATTATGGATGCGCGTTCTTTTCGTGTTGCTGGGTTTCTTGTAGCAACAGAAGAAAACATGTCGGTATATTTTCAAAATACTAGATAAACCTATCTATCTATTAGAAAGTTTACATATTTCCCCATAATGGAGAATTCACGGCTATGTTCTCAATGCATCTATTCTCTACTTTGGAAAGCATTGCCGTCTTTATAACCTCAATCATAGTCTGCAGTTCACCATCATTAATGTGTACCTGTGCCTGACGGAGCATTGTAAAGTAGGATTAACCAGTATTAATAAAGAAACTATTTCGAAATCATGGGTATTAAAACTTTCGGTTTGGAGTTTGTTGTATGGGTGCACATATTCAATACCCGAAGTATTGATTCTTCTTCTTCTTCTTCTTCTTCTTATTATTCCTTAGCGAGTATAAAATGCTAGCGCTGCACCCTGGGTTTCGTTTCAGAGGAAGGTAATCTTGTTTTCTTAGGTACCCCTGCAACATTCAGCTGGCTATGGAATCTACTGACAAACCTCACATCTCGACGAGCCAATCACATTTCAGTAAACCCCGGGATCCTTAAACTCGAGAGAGCCCGTTCCCAACGTGTGTTTGCAATGTGGTTTGCGAAGGAATCACAATCTTCACTTGATCATAAACGCTCGCAACTTATGATCTCCGACGTTCCTACCGAGCCCCTCACACTATTCAAAAGTTCAAGGATTGTGTGACCAGAAATAGGTTCATTTATTTCTATACTAACTTTGTTTGTTTGCAAATGACAACAGACTCTATAAATATTTTTTCTGAAAGTTTATTCGAAATAACACAAACAGCTGAAACTAAAACATTAAAATGTAATTGCCAAAGACATTTAAATACTAATGAATTACGAGCATTGACCATTGGATTGACTGACCTGATTTTTTGGCCTGACCATAGGGTCGAAAAAGACCGACAACTAACGAGATGTGGGTTAGAAGATGATTTTGCCTCTTTAGGCGGCTGAAATACAGGGTATGACGTGTTATTTGTTCTTTAGCATAGATATTTACACAATTAAATGTTTGTCAAAGAAAGGACCTTATGAATTAAAATTGATTACATTCTGATGAATAGGTCTAGACCCTAATAAATAAAATGACGTCTTTTTAATTCAAATTGACCCGAATTGTTTTTCAGTTACTATGGAGGGTTTTACACCTAGTTACTACTTGCACGTACCAGTGTACGTATATAAATTGGCGTTATCTGAGATAATTCGTCAGAGGACGCTGTTAGACCAAGACCAAGCTCATCTTTCATTGGAATCTCGACGTGGGTGTGTCATAGAGGTGAGATAGTGGACAGCTTTACCAATTTACATTTTGAAAATTAACAGTCATTGCTATTTCTTTTATCATTCAGTTAGTAATTCTTTTTCATGGCTTTATCTTAGTTATTGCAATGAAGGATAAACATTTCCAAAACATATTATTTTACGATTTGAATCTAAAAATTCACAAAACAATTATATGATGATAAAATGGCATGTTTATATATCAAAGACTGACATATTAAATTGCCTTTCAACCTAAATATTGCTACACTTTTCAGGTATAACATGAATTTGTCACTGTTTGTGTTTTCTTGTTTGCTGACTTTGAATTCTATACAAGGTAAGACGGTTCGCTTTGTATATATCTGTACATCTCCATATACATAAATTTATAATTTCATGCCATGTGTTGATTGTCAACACGTGTGACAATTTAAAGTTGTTGGAAAAGTCTAAGAATGCGCGTTAGACCATTATGTAACTAAACAATTTTCTTGGAATTGTCAGCAATAAACGATTTATAATGGTGATATTCTCTAAACAAAAACTTTGAGACGATTTTTGCCTTGAAGTTCTGAACTCTTAATATTTACTGTATTATAAACTGGTTTTATTCACCGCTCCGTATCTGCAGTACGAGTGATTGGAAACTTAGAATTTTACAACTGTATAGCACGTAACATTGTGAATGGGTGTGGGTATGATTTGTCTTGCTGATTTAGGCCAAATATTGAAATTAAAAAAAAATATATATACATGTATGAAGTTTCTACATGTATGCTCATATGTATGTTTGCCTCAGATTGGGTGACTTAATGGAAATGTGAAAGGTTTTTGGTTTAATAAAAGGCCGGTAGTTATACATGATAGTGCTACCCCTAACCCAAAACTGCATTTTTAGACCAACTAAATAAAATAATGCTATAAAATGGTGCAACATTGTTAAGTTTGCAAAGAATGCTCTATATTCGATAATTTAAATCTGAGAAATGTTTTTCAGAATTATCTTACTTGTGTTCGTTATAAGGTATTTCTCTCTCCAGGTCACACTTGGACGGGTTGGTATGATCGAGACAACCCTAGTGGTAACGGGGATTATGAAACTTTGTACGATCAAAAGGTAAGGAAATCTGATTTCAGCTGTTATAAATATAATGACCACAGTGCTTCAAAATGCCCAAATATGCTCTTGTTACTATGGTCACTGTTCTTAGCTACATAAGTCCAATTTAGTCCGTTGTGTGCAATAGAGTACTGATACGCTGAACACAAGTTAGGACAAAAGTCTTGCAGAAATCAGTTATACACAATCAATGCTAGTGGACACAGAAAACAGAGAGCCACGTTTGGGGGACTGAATTCCATGCTGACAAATAATGTCATGGCTTTCCGATCTGGACAGGGGTCAGGTTATTTGTCATTGCAGTTGGTAGATCCGAGTGTCATGGTTTGGGCGGCCATTAAAACATATAGATATGAAATTCCGTTCTTTTTGATAGTATATATGGCTGGGAACTATTAGGTTCTATAAGCAAAATAAATCAAAATCAATCAATAAATATATGAGGAGTTTTATAACTTTGAATATGTTTGACAAAAATTATCAAAACGAGTAAAAGGGGAGGGGTAATTATTCTATGGCTTACTGTGAAATTGAGACGTTTAAGAAGTTTATGAAATATTCCATAAATGCACCATCTGTTGTAATTATTAAGAAACTAGGCTACGTCTGTGGCGGATGTAAACCCATCGGGGCAGAGTGTCGCGTGAGGGGATCAACCAGTACGTTCACGCGCTGGTCTGGAACTGCTCCCGATACCTTGGCGATTCACTGTTTACCTACCAAAGGTCTAGCGTGTGTCAACTCCCAGCAGGCCGACGGGTACTGCAATGACTATGAGATAAGATACCTGTGTCCAACAACGTGTAAGTGCTATAGTAACTGTTAAGTATGCAGGTGTGCACTACAATAAAATATCTAAAACGTGCGGTTCATCTACTGCCTCGTTACTTGCATGATTTCATTTCCATTTCTAAAATGGTGGTATGGATAACTGGACATAAAATATCTTCATAATGAATCCCTTTATTCTTCTATTTAGCTGGAACATGGACAAGCTATTTAGATAGGGATAACCCAAGTGGCGATGGAGACTTCGAAACCGTGGCGGATTTTAGGGTAAGGATACTCACGTGATGACCAATACATGTGTCATGTGTCTTATATCGCACTTAAGCTGCTTATCTGAATTTCTGTTTGATCTGTGTGCATACTTCGGTCTTGATGTCTTTATGTTATTATATACAACTTAGATTTGTTCTCACTTAGATCTGTTTTTTCAGGATGATGGTGTCAACCTTTGCAGTGGCGGTCGCCCGATGTGCGCTCATTGCCGCGATAGAGTAAGCTACCTCCATTATTACGCAACAGGAGACACGTACAATACCAACCATGACTGTAGCTGGGAGAATGGCTTGGCTTGTAGTACAGCAGTCAACGGGGGGACCTGCAAGGACTACGAGGCGCAGTTCAAATGCCCAACCATATGTAAGTTGCATTACGAACTGTTGAATGTCGACAGAACAAATGCACCACATAAAACCATTCCACCATTCGTTGGTCCAATGAGACTGAGATCTAATACTAGTTCATTTGCTGCTTCTCTTCACCCCAAGCAATGTGTATGTTCTAGGCGCTAGAACAAATGCACCACATAAAACCATTCCACCATTCGTTGGTCCAATGAGACTGAGATCTAATACTAGTTCATTTGCTGCTTCTCTTCACCCCAAGCAATGTGTATGTTCTAGGCGCTACCGCGGTCTAATCATGTAGCCTTGTGCAAAGTAACAGTAAATTGCGTATCCCAGTGCTTATTGCACCTCTCTACGCATAACTTGAAATTATATCTTCCAGGCACTTGTAGCTCGTGCTCATGCGCAACGTGGACTTCCTGGTTGAACAGAGACAACCAAGGCGGTAGCGGAGACTGGGAACTCGTAGGGCCAACAGGACATAATCCGGTAATTATTACCAAGCAATCACAAAACGTTTTATAATGTTACCTTAACTTTTTTTTTGTTATATTAATGTTATGGTAAGTTAATATGAATTGATATTGTCGTTTATTTAAATGACGAAATGGAATATTATACAAGTTACAAGATGGGGGATGGTAACAACATCAAATTAAATTATATCACATACATCCTCCATGCAATAGAGCAAAGAGTTGGCAAAAACAATAGCCTTCCAAAACGTAAAATAATGTACATGTTAAAATGGTTTGAATAGAGCGGAATTTAGCTTATATATGGTTGTTTCAAAATTTTAATTAAGTATTCATTGTCCATTTTCACATTTGAAATAATAAAATTTTGACTAACTTTGGGGGAGTATAGCTCCCGGAATGACGCTTTTTAGCTACAAATTTGTTGTGTAAATTGTTTATACATTTGGCTATGGCATTGTCAGAAAGGACCAGGTGGGCGGGGATTTTATGCCAAAAAAAGGCAGTTTACATGTTTGAAAAGGTGTGAAATTTCCGTCATATTTTAGAATAATTCAGCTGCATCAAAATATCCTATTTGAAATTGTCATTGCTAACGAAGACTATCAAAACATATATGTGTACACCTTTTATTGCAATATTGTGAAAATCGAGTATTAAGTATTTACTTGCAGACTTGGAGCAGTCCTTCCAATTTCCAGCTTGTCCTACGTTAATTCGTGCCCTTGTTCATTTCAGGAGTCCTACTTTATTACGAATATGAAAATAAGACAAGTAAACACACTGTATCTAGTGAAATAGAAATTCACAATGACATAAAAAAGAACGAAAGAAAGAATAAACAATTCTGCTTTCAGTTAAGTTTTACTTTTTTTTAAATTAAAATTAATGATTTTAAAACTTTGTGCGTGGTTGTGCGTACAATTTCAAAAAGACCGTGACTTCCTTGTCATGATTGTGACAAAATATGACATATGGTAACAAAGGCGTCTTCTTTTCCTTTTTAAAGTGCTCCGGTCATGAACCAATTGATATCCAGTGCCGCGTCAGAGGAACCAATCAGCCATGGGACCAGGCGGGTCAGGTGATCAGAGTGAAGTGCACGCCCTCTGAAGGGTTTGCCTGTGTCAACAGCGAACAGCGGAGTGGATATTGCTACGATTACGAGGTCCGTTTTCTGTGTCCATAATCCCCCCCCCCCCCCCACCATGTTTCACTCAACATCCCGGAGACAAGGACGAAGTGACAGCGTGATCATGTTGAATGGCATAAAAGACTACTTCAAAATACAAGACTACTTCAAAATAGTATATCTGTGATCTGCTAAGTGACCTCATATTAAATGTACCTTTTAACATACTTTTTAGTATTGTACTGCCTTTCACCAAACTTCGAGATGAGGTGACAACAGGCAATTAGAAATCTTCTGTTACCCAAAAGGATGTTTTGCCATGTAAGATGTTAGATAAGTATCATTGTGCCTTTCTATGAAATAAATCCATCGAAACGAACTGGTTTGTTTTTTGTTGTATCATTATTTTTCATTAAAATATTACTATGTACACGTACCTAATGCAAACACCAAATGCAATTTTGGCACCAAAGCATTTCCATCGTTTATATCGAGATGTGTGTGGATATAACCACTTAATGAGACCTGGCTGAACATAAATTAAATTATATATAATGTTATAATGTTATAATCCAACATTCAGTGGACTGCACAAAATAATGTACACACACTAGTAAGTAGAACAAAATAGAAAGCTTATTATTATTAGAGTTCAGAATTTAATGTCAGTTAAATGTCAGTCCATAATGCTGCTAAAATCTTTATCGATAGTAATACATGGTTTACGATCTCTCTTGAGCTTGACCCAAAAATTACAAAATGATTATTAGGAATGTGCTGTGTGCAATGGACGTCGTCTCAACTACCACAGTTTATCATTGCACTTCCTTTTTTTCACAGCCAGTGCGGTGTATGATGAGGGTCATTAGCTATTTTCGTACACCTTTTCTATTCATTTAAAAGACGGGAGAAGTGATAATAATATCATTGTCTCGCTATTAAAATGTTGCCTTAACGTGTTCACAGTCAAATGTAGAAACATTCCAGTTTATTGATAACAATACAGCTCAGCTACCACTTACTGCTACTTGTAGTCTTTTTCTGAACCCCTGCCACGTGTCACGGCTAATGCAATGCGTGGAATTATACAGAAAAAAATCATGCCATAAACCAATATATAATATATATGCTATGACAATAAGGTAATTATATTGAATATAAAAAACAAAACTTACTATACATGTTTGCCTGCAATGTCATACTTCCTTACAGCAAGGAAATATTTAGCATATACGATGTTTGAATTGGTCTTTCGTACTAATATACCAGTATGGTATGGTGCAGACACGTAAGTGTGGCAATGAAAACTGTTCATATGAACGTCAAGTAGTTGTTTAAGTCACACTATGTTTATGAAACACTATGAATGTACGTTCTCTTCACGTTGCTGGGTTCCGTGTAGTACAGATTCACAAATGACTTGTTAAGATAGTTTCATAATACGTAATTAAGCTGGTTATGTCAATTAAAGTGTTATCTTTCAGTAATTCTAGCTTAAGTATGCCCACAAAGTATGTTCAATGATGTTCAGATCTGGAGATTGCGTTGGTCATTAGAGGACCAAATAATGAAAGTGATGTATGTGAAAATCACAGTGCATTAAAGATGAGATTTAACTGTAATAAGTGCAAACACTATGTATTTTATTTTGAGTGTCCTATCAATGTCCTTTTACTTTATACTTGAGTTATATTGTCGATGAGTAGTTTAAAAAAAACGGATATCTTACAGTTACAGTGCATGTTTGTTGAGATATACCCTCAACCAGGGCTACACATTGATTAACTAGCAATTCACATATATTTCTCTGGTTAGTTTTTTGTACATTTGTGTGTACCCAGCAAGCATTGTGCATAGAAATGGCGTGATCACTCAGCTAGCCTCTGGATGAAGGAAGTGTACCTATAATTTAAACCGTAATGTCGACAGTCTTGTATGTGTTTAACATATTGCATGCTCACACTAATTCAGAATGTATTTTTTTTTGCAATAATAAACACCTTTGTCCAGGAGTAGAATATGTAATATGATTTATCTATTATGATAATGAGAGCTATTAATTATAAGTATGATCCTTCGGAAGCAAAGGTAACTAAGTGCATGCCCTTAATACCATATACCCCTGTTCTTATTTGTTCAATAATGAAATATTTAACCTACGTGTACATTGGTCTGTCATACTAAAATACCTTAATAATATGCCCCTGCTACTTCATGGTGTCAAAGTAAACTACCCTATTTTTAGGTAAATGTAGTTGTTTATGTCAGTGCAGTAATATGGATGCATGTTTGCTTGGCGTCCCTGGGTTTCTTGTAGCAACAGAAAAACAACACTTGTTGAGAGTAAGCTAGTTATATACCTATAAAATAGTACTGTGTTTAAGCAAAGATTTGTTGACACTTATCTTAAACAGTTTGTGCGGTGAAATAATCGAAGCAAAACAGATGTACTGCATTGTCAGCTGGGACTCTTCCTTGTCACATGGTGCACTAACAGCACCGTCTGGCGAGATGGAGGATGTCTGAAAGGATGTGTGATTGAAAAATAAGAAATATATCACAGCACATGACTTAAGCAACGGATTTGAAAACAGTTAAAAGTCCAACTGGTGCAGCTGTGTTAATGCGTTTAATTATGAATCAAGCCCAAGGCATTAAACACCTTAATGGTATGTTACATAAAGCTACCTCGTTAATGTAATTTCAAGTAGTTGTTAATGTCAGTGAAACATTATGGATGCGCGTTTTTTTTTCAAGTTGCTGGGTTTCTTGTAGCAACAGAAGAAAACATGTTGCTATATTTTCAAAATACTGGATAAACCTAGATATCTTTATAGCTATCGCTATTTTTTCAATGTTTCTATCCTCTACCTTGGTAAGCATTACCGCCTTTATAACGTAAGGATATACAAATATAGTCTGTAGATCACCAGTATTAATATGTGCCAGTGCAGGAGTAACCATTAATAAAAAAGAAGCAATTTCGAAATCATGGGTAATAAACCTTCGGTTTGGAGTTTGTTGTGAGCTAGCGTATATTCAATACCCGCAATATTGATTGGTTTTCTTCTTACGTCCTTAAAGAACACACAAATGTCAAAGTATACTATTAGCGCTGCACCCTGGGTTTCGTTTGAGAGGAAGGTAATNATATATATATATATATATTCTTTGATCATAAGGAGATTATATTGTACATAAAAATGCCTTACTATATAAGTATGCACGCAATGTCATACTTCCTTGTTCTGACTTGTACAGCAAGGAAATATTTAGCATATTTATGTTTAAATTGGTCTGTCGTTCTAATATACTTCTATGATTTGCTGAAGACCAGTAATTATGCCAGTGTAAAACTTTCATTTTAATTTCAAATAGTTGTTTAAGTGTTTACGAAACACCATGGATGTACGTTCTCTTCACGTTGCTGGGTTTTCATGTAGAACAAATTCACATGACTTGTTAAGATAGTTTTGTGATGCGAGATTAAGATGCGTGCTTTGTGCATAGAACTGACATAATCAGCTGGCCTCTGGAAGAGGCTAGTGTACCTAAAAGTTAAACCTTAATCTTGACAGTCCTGTCACACGTTATTCAAAATGTATCATTTTTGCAACATAAAACACCTCTGCCCGCCAGTAGATTATAAAATTTGATTTATCTATTATGACAGTGAGAACAATTAATTGTGAAAATAATCCTTCAGAAGCAAAGGTAACTAAGTGTATGCCCTCAGCGCCACACTTCCTTCTTCTAATTGGTACAATAAGGAACTATTTAACATGAGCATACATTAGTCTGTCGTACTAAAATACCTTAATGATATACTCCTGCTACTTCACGTTGTCAAAGTAAACTACTCTATTTTCAGGTAGTTGTTTATGTCAGTGAAGCAATATGGATACATGTTTTCTTGGCGTCCCTGGGTTTCCTGTAGCAACAGAAAAACAGCACTTGTTGAGATATTTTCATAAAGTGAGAGTAAGCTCGTTATGCCTATAATTAGTATTAACTTTGTGCATAGATTTGTTGACACTTATCTTAAACAATTTGTGCGGTGAAATAATCAAATCAAAACAGATTTACTGCATGGTCAGATATACTAGTTTGGACTCTTCCTTGTCACATTGTGCATTGGCAGCACCGTCTGGCGAGATGGAGGAATGCTCTTATGCGTGAAACGGAGTGTGATTAAAAATAAGGAAAAATTCACTGTATATGCACCAAGGGACGAATTTCAAAACAGTTAAAAGTTTCCAACTAGTGCAGCTGTGTTAATGAGTTTTATTATGAATCACAACGAAGGCATTAAACACCTTAATGGTATGTTACATGCACGTTACGTTGCCAAGGTAGACAGATTCATTCTAATTTCAAGTAGTTGTTTATGTCAGTGAAACATTATGGATGAGCGTTCTTTTCTTGTTGCTAGGTTTCTTGTAGCAACAAAAGAAAACATGTTGCTATATTTTCAAAATACTAGAAAAACCTCGTTATTTCTATTAGAATGGTTACATATATCCCCTTAACGTCTATTTTCTCACTGCTTCTATTCTTTACTTTGGAAAGCATTACCGTCTTTATAACGTAAGGATGTACAATCATTGTCTGCAGTTCACCATCATTAATGTGTGCAAATGCCTGACGGAGCAATGTCAAGTAGGAGTAACCATTATTAAAAAAGAAACCATTTCGAAATCATGGGAAGTAAAACTTTCGGTTTGGAGTTTGTTGTGTGGGTGCACATATTCAGTACACGCAATATTGATTAGTATTCTTCTTAGGGCCTTAACGAGTACAAAAGTGTTAGCACTGCACCCTGGGTTTCGTTCCAGAGGAAGGTAATTTTGTTTTCTTAGGTACCCCTGCAACATTCAGCTGGCTATGGAACCTACCGACAAACCTCACATCTCGACGAGCCAATCACATTTCAGTAAACCCCGGGATCCCTAAACTCGAGAGAGCCTGTTCCTAACACGTGTTTGCAAGGTGGTTTGCAAAGAAATCCCCATCTTCACTTGATCATATATGCTTGCAACTTATGATCTCCGATGTTCCCGCCAAGCCCCTCACACTATTCAAAAGTTCAAGGATTGTGTGACCAGAAATATGTTCTTTTATTTCTGTACTAATTTAGTTTGTTTGCAAATGACAACAGACTCTGTTAGTGCGCCACATGACGCTGTGGTCACTCTAGTTAGGTGAACAGTTATCAGTCACGTGGTTTTGGATGTCTGTGATATAGAAATCTCGAGAGAATTTAGTAGACAAGTTGCAAGCATACCGGTCGATCACCTGTGTTTGGAACCGTAGATAGCATATAATGTGAGTAATTGTAAAATGTATTTTTTTTTTTACTTTAACGCATATACTTTAGTTTGTTTCTATTAGTTTCTATGAGTTTATTATTAATCGCATACTTTCGTCATTTTTTTTCATTTTTTTTTTATTTGTACAAAGAGTCCAACGTACACAAAGGACAAACGTGCCACGGTGTCTATTGTGCTAACGAAAATGTTACAAATTGTGTTATCTATACGTCAATAAAGGACTCAGTCTTTTTATGCTTAACGTCGTCTACGATCACCCTGAGCTTCAGAGATAACTTTCCACTAACCTCTTCACTATAGCCTATCTTCATCGTGTCAAGTTACCTCTGACGAAAATAGTTTGACCTAGTTTATATAAGNAGCGCGCTTCGACTCGTTTGCGTTCATTGGCTAGATCGTTCAATGAGTCATTGAGTGCGGGCTTTAAATTTGATTGGCGGGCGGCGGGGGCAATCGAATGTGGTCAGAGGTAACTTGACACGATGAAGATAGGCTTTAGTGAAGAGGTTAGTGGCAAGTTATCTCTGAAGCTCAGGGTGTCTACGATAGACTCCATAAATATTTTTAGTAAAAGTTTATTCGAAATAACAAAAACTGAACATAAAACAGTTAAATGTAATTGCCAAAGACATTTAAATACTAATGAATTACGAGCATTGATCATTGGATTGATTGACCTAATTTTTTTGCCTGGCCATAGGGTCGTAAAAGACCGTCAACTAACGAGATGTGGGTAAGAAGATGATTGTGCCTCTATAGGCAACTGAAATCCAGGGTATGGCGTGTTATTTGTTCTTTTGCATAGATGTTAACACAATGTAACGTTTGTCAAAGAAAGGATATTATAAATTAAAATAAACTACGTTTTGATGTACAGGTCTAGACGCTAATAAATAAAATAACATTTTCTTAATGCAAATTGGCCCGAATTGTTTTTCAGTTGGTAGGGAGGGTTTTACACTCAGTTATTCCTTGTACGTATCGTGTACGTATATAAATTGGCGTTATCTTAGATAATTCGTGAAAGGACGCTGTTAGACCAAGACCAAGCTCATCTTTCATTGGAACAACGACGTGGCTGCGCCATAGAGGTTAGGAAATGGAGAGCTTTACCAATTTACATTTTGTAAATCAACAGTGATTGATATTTGCTTAACATTTTGTATAAGTTAGTAATTATTTTTCATGGCTTTATTTTCGTTTTGAAATGAAGGATAAAAATTTCCAAAACAAATTGTTTTACGTTTTGAATCTATAAATTATATGATGATAATAGCGACGTGTATATACTTTTTGTCAAAGACTGCCACTTTAAATTGCCTTTCAGCCTGATTATTGCTACACTTTTCAGGTAAAATATGAATTTGGTGCTATTTGTGTTTTCTTGTTTGCTGACTTTGAATTCTATACAAGGTAAGACGGTTCGCTTTGTTTATATCCCGTACATCTACATACATTATTTCGTAATTTCATGCCATGTATTGATCGACAACACGTGTGAAAAAGTAGTTTTGTTGCCAAAGAATACGCGTTAAACCAAACAATTTTCTTGGAAATGTCAGCAATTAAAGATTAACGTGACATTCTCTTAACTAAAACTTGGAGACGATTTTCCGCCTTGAAATTCTGAAGTTCTAATATTTACTGTATTATAAACTAGTTAAATTTAAGGTCCGTATCTGCAGTGCGAGTGTGGCTACAAGTCAGAAACTTGGAATTCTAAAACCGATGTATAGCATGTAACATTGTCAATGGGTTTGAATATGATTTGTCTTCCTGATTTATGCAAAATTGTGTATGTTGAACTCGGATTGGGTGGCTAAATGGAAATGAGAAAGGTTTTTGGCTTAATAAAAGACCGGTAGACATACATGATAATGATACCCCCTACCCAAAAATGCATTTGTAGACCAACTAAATAAAATAATACATGACATAGTTATCTTGACAAATGAAGAAAATATTGTTGTGCGTGTAACATGTACGATTTTGGAAGTAGATGAGTTATCAAAAATAGCGCAACATTGTTAAGTGAGCAAAGATTGCTCCTTCTTTACATTATTCCAGTAACTTGAATCTGAGTACTGTTTTTCAGAATTATCATGAATTCAGTTAATAATAAGGTGTTTCTGCCTTCAGGTCACTATTGGACGGGTTGGTATGATCGAGACAACCCTGGTGGTAATGGGGATTATGAAAATTTGTATGAACAAAAGGTGAGGAAAACTGATTTCAGCTGGTTTGCTTCAGTAAATGAAAGGCTGTTATATAATGTATATCCTGACCAAATAAATGATTAGGATAGTGGAGTTATATAATAAAAACCGCCTTATTTGGTCAAATCACGAACAATCAATATTCCTTGTTGCCTTCTTTCTTGTTATGAATGAGACTATGAAAGTTTGTGGTACACCGAGATGGAGGAGACATAAATACTGTACATCCTGACCAAAAAATCTAACTTTTACCACAGTGCTTCAAATGCCAAAATATGCACATATTAGTATAGGCACTGTACTCAGTTACAGAGGACCATTTTAGTCCTGCAATAGAGTACTGATACGCTTGGGTGGTTTCAGCCAATAACTTGCTAAGATTTGAGACATTTCGTCTAAACACAAATTAGGACAAAATTTTTGCAGAAATCAGTTGTACACAATTAATGCTAGTGGATACAGTAAACAGAAAGCCACGTTTGGGGGACTGAATTCCATGTTGACTTATAATGTCACGGCTTTCCGATCTGGACAGGGGTCGGGTTATTGGCCGTTGCAATTAGCACAGTGTAATAGTTTGGAAGGGAATTAAAATATATAATATAAAATGCGTTTTTTGGCTAGTATATAAGGGGGAATCTAGACGGGGGTTCGATGAGCAATATAGGCAAAATCAATCAATAAATATATGAGAAAATTTAAAACTGACAATACGGTTTAAAAAAAAAAAAAAAAAAAAAAAAAAAAAAAAAAAAAAAAAAAAAAAAAAAAAAAAAAAAAAAAAAAAAAAGGGGGGGGGGGGAGTAATTTTTTGTTTGGCTTACTGTGAAATGAGACGTTTATGAAATATATTCCATACATACACCGTCTGTTATTATTATTTAGAAACTAGGTTACGTCTGTGGCGGATGTAAACCCATCGGAGCAGAGTGTCGAGTGAAGGGATCAACCAGTACGTTCACGCGCTGGTCTGGAACTGCTCCCGATACCTTGGCGATTCACTGTTTACCCACCAAAGGTCTGGCGTGCGTCAACTCCCAGCAAGCCGACGGGTATTGCAATGACTATGAGATAAGATACTTGTGCCCAACAACGTGTAAGTGCTATGGGAAGTGTTAAATATGTAGGTTTGCACTACAATAAAATATCTAAAACGTGCGGTTCATCTACCGCCTCGTTACTTCTATAATCTCATTTCTCTTCTAAAATGGTGGTATGGTTAACTGGACATAAAATATCTTCATAATGAATCCCTTTATTCTTCCATTTAGCTGGAACATGGACAAGCTATTTAGATAGGGATAACCCAGGTGGCGTTGGAGACTTCGAAAACGTGGCGGCATTTAGGGTAAGGATACTCACGTGATGACCACGTGTCATATGTGATACATGTATTTGGCACTAAATGTTTATTTGGATTTCTGTTTGATCTTTGTGTATACTTCGGTCTTGATGTCTATATGTTATTATATATAACTTAGATTTGTTCTCTTTTTTCCAGGGCGATGGCAACAACCTTTGCAGCGGTGGTCGTCCGATGTGCGCCCATTGCCGCGATAGAGTAAGCTACCTCCATTATTATGCAACAGGAGACACGTACAATACCAACTATGACTGTAGCTGGGACAATGGCTTGGTCTGTACTACATCAGTCAACGGGGGGACCTGCAGGGACTACGAGGTGCAGTTTAAGTGTCCAGCTATATGTAAGTCGTCTTACAAACTGTCTAATTAATGTGTACATAACAAATGCACCACACACAACCATTCCACCTTTCACTGGTCCACTGTGACTGAGATCTAATACTAGAAAATTTCCTCCTTCTCTTCACTCCAGGCAATGTGTGTGTTCTGGGTGCTACGACGGCCTAGTCATGTAGCCTAGTAACAGTAAATTGCGTATCTCAGTGCTTATTGCACCTCTAATGTATAACTTAAAATTATATCTCCCAGGTACCTGTAGCTCATGCTCATGCGCAACGTGGACTTCCTGGTTGGACAGAGATAACCCAGGCGGTTATGGAGACTATGAACTCGTGGGGCCAACAGGACATAATCCGGTAAGTATTACCAAGCAATTACATAACGTTTTATAACGTTACCTTAACGTTTTTTGTTATATTAATGTTATGGTAACGCTTTGTTTGCCGGGAAAATCTTCTAATTTGGAGCCTTGAAATTGCCATGTTTTGTAACCTAATATATGTAGCCAAATGTTCACAAGCACAACGAAGCTCAGTTTTTGCTCAAATAAAATAAGAAATAAGTTAATATGAATGATATTGTCGTTTATTAAAATGATGAAATGTAATATAATACTAAGTTACAAGATGGGGGATGGTAACAACATCAAAATAAATGATATCACATACATCCTCCATACAATAAAGCAAAAAGTTGGCAAAAACAATGACCTTATATATGGTAGTTTCAAAATTTTAATTAAGTATTCAATGTCCATTTTCAGATTTGAAAAAGATAAAATTTTGACTAACTTTGGGGAGCATAGCTCCCGGAGTGGTGCTTTTTAGCTACATATTTGTCGTATAAATTGTTTATACCTTTGGTTTTGGCTTTGACTAAAAGGACCAAATGGGCGGGGATTTTGTGCAAACAGCGTGAATTTGTTCCTCAAAGAAGGGCAGTTTGCATGTATGAAAAGGTGTGAAATTTTTGTCATATTTCAGAATACATTATCTCCATCAAATTTTCCTATTTGAAATTGTCAATGACCACAAAAGCAATTAAAACATTGACTTATATATGCACACGATTTATTACAATATTGCTATAATCGAGTGATTAGTAATTATTTACAAACTTGGATCGGTCCTTGCGGCATATATTCACATTGAACGCTTCTTCATTTCAAGGATCATACTTTATTACGGATATTAAAATAATAAAATTAAACACACTGTGTCGGGTGAAATATAATTCCACGATGGTATCCAGAAAAACAGTTCTACTTTAACTTAAATTTTCCATTTCATAAACGACTTTTAAACGTTGTGTATCTTTTGGGGTGAGATTAGGCGTACAATTTGCAAAAGACAGTGATACTCTTACCATGACTGTGACAAAAATATGACATAAGGTAACAAAGTCGTCTTCTTTCCTTTTTCAAGTGCTCCAGTCATGAACCAATTGATATCCAGTGCCGCGTTAGAGGAACCAATCAGCCATGGGATCAGGCGGGTCAGGTGATCAGAGTGAAGTGCACGCCCTCTGAAGGGTTCGCCTGCGTCAACAGCGACCAGCCGAGTGGATATTGCTATGATTACGAAGTTCGTTTTCTGTGTCCATAACTTGCCCCACCCCCCACCCCCCCGTGTATCACTCAGCATCCGGGAGACAAGGACGAAGTGACATAGTGATCATGTCGAATGGCATACAAGACTACTTCATAATAGTATATTATCTGCGACCTGCTAAGTGACCTTATGTTAAATGTAACTTTTAACATACTTTTTAGTATTGTACTGCCTTTCAATAAACTTTGAGATAAGATGACGACAGGCAATTAGAAACCTTCTGTTACCCAAAAGGATGTTATACCATATAAGATGTTAGAGTAGTATCATTGTACCTTTCTTTGAAATAAATCCATCTGAACGAATTGAAGATTTTTGTTGTATCACTATTTTTTAATAAAATGTTACCATGCACACGTACCTAATGCAAACACCAAATGCAATATTGGGACCAAAGCATTTCCATCATTTCCATCGAAATGTGTATGGATATGACCACTTAAAGTCTGAACATTAATGAAATGGTATATAATGTTATAATGATATAATCCAATATTCAGTGGACTGTACAAAATAATGTACACACACTGATAAGAAGAACAAAATAGAAAGCTTATTATTATTAGAATTCAGAATTTAATGTCAGTTAAAAGTCAGTCCATATTGCGATTAAAATCTTTATCGATAGTAATATATGGTTTACGATCTCTCTTGAGCTTGACTCAAAAATTACAAAATGATTATTAGGAATGTGCAGTGTGCAATGGACGTCTTCTCAACTACCACAGTTTATCATTGCTCGTTCCTTTTTTCACAGCTAGTACGGTCTATCATCAGGGTCATTAGCTATTTTCGTACACCTTTCCTATTCATTGCAAAGATGGGAGAAGTGAAAATGTTATCATTGTCTCGTTATTAAAAAGTTGCCTTTAATGTGTTCCCAGTCAAATGTGGAAACATTCCAGTTTATTGATAATCATAGAGCACAGCTATCACTTATAGCTTTTTGTCGTCTTTTCTGAACTTCTGCCAAGTGTCACAGCTAATGCAATGCGTGGCGTTATACAGAAAATAAGCATGCCATAAACCATGGGCACCGTTGCACGCCAGCATGCTACTAAAATATAATATTATATATGCTATGATAATAAGGCAATTATATTGGAAATAAAAATACCTCACTATACATGTTTGCCTGCAATGTCATACTTCCCTACAGCAAAGAAATATTTAGCATATGCGATGTTTGAATTGGTCTTTTGTACTAAAATACCAGTATGGTATGGTGCAGACACGTAAGTGTGGCAATGTAAACTTTTCATATGAACGTCAAGTAGTTGTTTAAGTCACACTATGTTTACGTAACACTATGAATGTTCCTTCTTCTCGCGTTGCTGGGTTCCGTGTAGTACAGATTCAGAAATGACTTGTTGACACAGTTTCGTAATACGTAATTAAGCTAATTGTGTCCTTAATAGAGTTATCCTTCAGTAATCCTCGCGTGAGTATGCCCCACAATGTATGTTCAATGATGTTCAGATCTGGAGATTGCGTTGGTCATTGGAGGACCAAATAATAAAAGTGATATATGTGTTCCAGACAATGAGAGAGTGCATTAAAGATGAGATTTAACTGTAATAAGCACAAACTATTGTAGTAGGCGGGACGCTTAATAAGCACAAACGCTTGTAGTAGGCGGGACGAACATTTTAGCCGGATTATCTGACAGTAATCTGATGAGACTCCCCGCGGGGATAGATCGATCTAAAAGCTCTGGGAATACAGCCTTACAGTGCATGTTTGTTCAGATATACCCTCTACCAGGTCTACACATTGATTAATTTGCCATTCACATATATTTCTCTGGTTAGTATTGTGTACATTTGTGTGTGCCCAGCAAGCATTGTGCATAGAAATGGCATGATCACTACTTATATGTTAAAAATATGCTATTAAGTTTTCGCAAAGATTTGTTGAGACTTATCTTAAACAATTTGTGCGGTGAAATAATCGAAGCAAAACAGATTTACTGCATGGTCAGCTGGGAATGTTCCTTGTCACATGGTGCATTGACAGCACCGTCTGGCGAGATGGAAGATGTCTGAAAGGATGTGTGATTAATAAATAAGAAATATATCACAGCACATGACAACGCAACGGATTTGAAAACAGTTAAAAGTCCAACTGGTGCAGCTGTGTTAATGCGTTTAATTATGAATCAAGCCCAAGGCATTAAACACCTTAATGGTATGTTACATAAAGTTACGTCGTTAATCTAATTTCAAGTAGTTGTTAATGTCAGTGAAACATTATGGATGCGCGTTTTTTTTCAAGTTGCTGGGTTTCTTGTAGCAACAGAAGAAAACATGTTGGTATATTTTCAAAATACTAGATAAACCTAGATATCTTTATCGCTATCGCTATTTTTTCAATGTTTCTATCCTCTACCTTGGTAAGCATTACCGCCTTTATAAAGTAAGGATATACAAATATAGTCTGTAGATCACCAGTATTAATATGTGCCAGTGCAGGAGTAACCATTAATAAAAAAGAAGCAATTTCGAAATCATGGGTAATAAACCTTCGGTTTGGAGTTTGTTGTGAGCTAGCGTATATTCAATACCCGCAATATTGATTGGTTTTCTTCTTACGTCCTTGAAGAACACACAAATGTCAAAGTATACTATTAGCGCTGCACCCTGGGTTTCGTTTGAGAGGAAGGTAATCTTTTTTCTTAGGTATCCCTGCAACATTCAGCTGGTATCTACTGACAAACCTCGCATCTCGACGAGTCAATCACATTTCCTTAACTCAAGAGAGCTTGTTCCTAATAAGTGTTTGCAAAGTGGTTTGCAAATAAATTCCCACTTGACTTGATCATATATATATACAGCCGCAACTTATGATCTCCAGTGTTCCCGCCAATTCTCGCACACTATTCAAAAGTTCAAAGATTGCGATTGATTAGAAATAGTTAATTTATTTCTATATATAAAATGTGTTTGTTTGCAAATAGCAACAGACTTTTTGATGATTTTTTTCTGAATGTTTATTCAAAATACTACAAACAACTGAAAATAAAACGGTAGAATGTAATTGGCAAAGACATTTACATGCTAATGAATTACGAACATCGGTCATTTGATTGATAGACCTGATTTTTAGCCTGGACACAGTGTTGAAAAACACCCACAACCAACAAAACATGGATTAGAATATGTTTTTCTGTCATTAAGCGACTGAAGTCCAGGGTATGGCGTGTTATTTGGTATTTTGCATAGACATTTACACAGTTTAACGTTTGTCAAGGAAAGGATATTATAAATTAAAATTATCATGCTCCGACTAATGGGTCTAGACACTGATAAATAAAATCACGACTTTTTAATTTAAATTAGCCCGACTTGTTTTTCAGCTGGTAGGGAGTGTTTTACATCCAGTTATCTCTTACGTACCGTGTACGTATATAAATTGGCGTTTTCTTAGATAATTCGCCAGAAGACGCTGTTAGACAAAGACCTAACTCATCTTTCATTGGAATCTCGGCGTGAGTGCGCCATAGAGGTGAGATAGTGGACAGCTTTAACAATTTACGTTACATTTCGGTAATTAACAGACATTGGTATTTATTAAAACATTATTCATGAATTATTTTTCATTTCGATTATTGCAAGTGGAAGATAAACATTTCGACAAAATTATTGTTCTCTTTTTGAACATAAAAGTTCTCAAAATAAATATGATCACGATTATAATGGAAAAAATGCCAAAAATTAATGAGATGAAATAAAATGTTTCGCTCATGATGCTAACATACACTGGTGTTTCGTAAACCCTGAATTACAAGTGAAAAAGAAGTTTGGTTATGTATTGGTTAATGATAATAATAATAATAATAATAATAATAATAATAATAATAATAATAATAATAATATCTACAAGTATACGTATCTACCATAATAAAATTATCGTTCGGCATCAATATTGCGACATTTTTCAGGTACAACATGAATTCGGTGCTATTTGTCTTTTGTTGTTTGCTGGCTTTAAATTCTATACAAGGTAAGACGGTTCGCATTATTTCTATCCCGTTCATGTACATATATAACTTCATAATTTCATGCCATGTGTTTATGGACAACAAGTGTAGTATTATTGCTATAAGTCGTAGAATGCGCGTTAGACCATTATATATCCATTTTTTTTTCGAAAATCTCAACAATTTAAGATTTATTACCGTAATATTATCTGAACAAAAACTTTGAGGCAATTTTACGCCTTGGAGTTCTGTACTTCCAATATTTACTGTCACTAGTGAAATTCACCTGTCCGTATCTGTGGTACGAGTGTGGATAAATATCAATGGTTTTGAATATGATACGTCTTGCTGATTTAGGAAAGATGCCGAGATCTGAACATGTATATTTAGCGTTGACTGGGTGACTTTACTGGAATGTGCAAGTTTTTTTTGTCTTAATATAAGGCCATTAGTAAAATATGTGCAGCGATAATGCTACCCCTATAGCAAAGCCGCATTTGTAGACAAAATAAAATATAACGAAACACGTCATATATAGTTATCTTGAAAAATGGCACAATGTTTTGCATAACATGTATAATTTTGGGACCAGATAGATTTATTGTCAAATGTTGCCAAATTTTTCAGTTCACAAAGAATGCTCTTTCAATGCATTATTTCAGAGCATAATTACTTTAATCTGAATAATGCTATTCAGTATTATACTACTTGTGTTAATTATAGAATATATATCCTTACAGCTCACTATTGGACAACTTGGTATGATCGAGACAACCCTAGTGGTAACGGGGATTATGAGACTCTGTATGAACAAAAGGTGACAAAAATACTGCTAATTTCAGCTGGTTAGTTGAATAGATGAAAGACTATTACATGGACATAACTCGACGAGCACTCGGTGGGGACTCCTCCACAATAAGCAAATCAATAAACAAAAGAGAAAATTTAAATTTAGAAATATTTGTGACAAGAAATAATAAGACAGAGAGAGAGAGAGAGAGAGAGAGAGAGAGAGGTTAAGTTTGTGGAAAAGTACATACTTGAATACATTATGTGTTATTTATTTAGAAACTAGGTTACGTCTGTGGCGGATGTAAACCCATCGGGGCAGAGTGTCGCGTGAGGGGATCAGTTTATACGTTCACGCGCTGGTATGGGACAGCTCCAGATAAATTATCGATTCACTGTCTACCCACCAAAGGTCTGGCGTGTGTCAACTCCCAGCAACCCGACTTATCCTGCAATGACTATGAGATAAGATACTTGTGCCCTACTACGTGTAAGTGCTAAAAGGACTGTTTGATAAGTAGATTTGCACTACAATGAAAATATCAAATACGTATTGTTTAACGAGGGCGTCATAAACTACAGGTACCACGTCACTATTCTTTTTAAAATGTCATTTTTATGCCTGGAATGGCGGCATGTATTGGTTATCTGGATGTTATATATTTTGATTTTCTCTATTCTATTATTCAGCTGGAACATGGACAAGCTATTTAGATAGGGATAACCCTAGTGGCACCGGCGACTGGGAGAACGTGGCGGCTTTTAGGGTAAGGTTACCCAAGTGTCATTAATGCTGCTGCCGCCTGCCTCTTAACATTTTTGTATTCATGTATAGTCTATTCACACAATGTCGATACTCAATAAATTTAATAAGTAGAAAAATTTAGGGGGGCCAACTATACATGTATTGCTTGTCGGTATTTTTACACAGCTCAAGGGTTAATCGATTGGGGGTACATTGGTCTGGAAATCAAACATTTGTAGAGTATTTTTATGTAACAGTGTCGTCCAAACCTCTTTGTATACCTTTTCCTTTTTGGAGGCAATAGCTATTTTTAGATTATTTCTCGTTTTTTCAGAATGATGGTATCAATCTTTGCAATGGTGGTCGCCCGATGTGCGCTCACTGCCGCGATAGAGTAAGCTACCTCCATTATTACGCAACAGGAGACAAGTACAATACCAACTATGACTGTAGCTGGGAGAATGGCTTGGTCTGTACTACTTCAGTCAACGGGAAGTACTGCAAGGACTACCAAGTGCAGTTCAAATGCCCAAGCATATGTAAGTCGCCTTACGAACTGTCGAATGTGGACAGAGTAAATGCACCAAATAGAACCACTCCATCTTTTGCTGTTCCACTGAGACTAAGATCTAGTACTGGCTCATTTGCTCCTTCGTACCAAACAATTTGTGTGTCCCATGTGCTACGATGGCCTATGCACTAAGTTACAGTAAACTGCGTATCCCAGAGCTTATTTCACCTCTTTATATATGACTTCTAATTATACCTTCCAGGTACCTGTAGCTCATGCTCTTGCGCAATGTGGACTTCCTGGTTAGACAGAGATAACCCAAGCGGCAATGGAGACTATGAACACGTGGGGACAACGGGACATAACCCGGTAGGAATTAAATTTCTTAACTTGAAATCTTGAAAAACTGGTTTAAATAGAGCACAATTTACACTATATTGTGGTAGTTTTAAAATTCAAATAGATATTCGGTATTTATTTGGACATTTAAAAAAAAGGTGAAATTTTGACAAATTTAGGGAGAGCATATCTCCTGGACTGGCACCTTTTTGATATCTTAATTCGTGTGTTCTTTACCTTTGGCTATCGATAACAAGGATCAAAAGTTGACTTCATGCCAACCTCTTGTTTTTGATTCTTAAAAAAGGCCAGATTACTCGATTACAAGATGTGGAATTTTTTTGTCATATTTTATAATACAATAACTCTATCAAATTTACTTGCTTGAAATTGTCACTGACCATAAGAACAATCAAAATATTTACTAATATATGCAATTGATTCATTACAATAGTGCTCAAATCGAGTAAAGAGTAATTTATAAACTCGGAACAGTTTATAAAATATCTTCGTCATCTCACAGGCAAGCTGGCATTCCTGCACTGCTTCATTGCAGGAATCGTGCATTAGTACAAATATCAATATAACAAAGAAAAATTAACATGTCTGATGAAATAGAATCCCACGATGGTATCGACAGAAAAGACAGATTGTCAAACGTGATAGAAAAAAGAAACATTCACTGTGTTCCCATGTCCTGAAAACGCCACTTTAACCTTTGTTTACTTTTCATTAACAACTTTGGGGTTGAGACTGCATACAATTTCTAAAATACCGTGCCATCTGGTCATGTCTGTAACAATAATATGACATATGGTAACAAAAGCGCCATATTTCTTCTTCCAAGTGTTCCAACAAAGAACCCATTGATATCCAGTGTCGCGTCAGAGTAACAAAAAAACCATGGGATCAGACGGGCCAGAGGATCAGAGTGAAGTGCACGCCCTCTGAAGGGTTTGCCTGCGTCAACAGCGACCAGCCGCCTGGACAGAATTGCTACGATTACGAAGTTCGTTTTCTGTGTCCGTAACTTTTCTCACTCTCATGTATCCATTCAACATCAGGGGGACAAAGAACTAGAAGGGACACATACAGCATGTTAAATGGCATATACAAAACAAAAAAAAACAAGTATATCTGAGAAATGCTAATTGACCTGTTTCACTGAATGTACCTTTGTAACATATTTTTAACTTGAGTTTTTCCTTATTTATCAGCAAAATTTTAGACACAGTACGGGCGATTAGGAATGATATGTTATGCAAGAGGTGATGACACACCATGTTAGATATTAAGGTTGTATAATTCTACCTTTCTTTGAAATAAATCCATCTAAACGTTTCGAGAGAAGAAGTTCAATCACTATTTTTCTTTTAAAATATTATATGATATACCCTGATATACTTAACGCAAACATAAATTGTATTTTTGGCACCAAATTATTTTCATTATTTATATACCTGTAGAGGTATTTCTGGATGCGACCACTTTAAATTACATGGCAGTACTTTAATAAAATGATATCATCCCACTGAATCGTAGAAAAAGGCGTTAAAAAGATTAGTTGAAAAATTTAACATGTATAGACGATTTAAATATAACCAGGCATGTGGTTATAATTTGAGGTTTATAATCAAAACGATGTTTATTTAAAAAATAGAATCTAGTTAATATATCTTTACAGCATAATGGTTTAAAACAAGTACACACAATAACAATCAGAGAAAAATGAACAGCTTATTATTAAACTAATAGATGCATAATTATGAGTTAAATGTCAGTTTTAACTTTTGAAAAAGCCAGTACATTCTGCAGCTAAAAACATTACCCATAATGATATATGATTTACTATCTCTCGTAAGCTATATCTAGAATTGCAAAACATGTTACTAGGCCGTTGTGTTGTGCAGTGTTCAATGGAAACTTTCTCAACTACTACAGTTTAAATAAATTCCTATTCACAGTGCGGTCAATAATCAGGGCCTTTAGGTAAAACAGTTGTCGCGTGCTGTACTGTATGTGTACTAATTAACTCTCTCTCTATCTTATTCAAAATGCATACAATACACCCCTATAAACCCCTATCAAAATAAGTGTCGCCCTAATGCAGTGCGCTTGATTACATAAACCATGGACACCAGCATGCTACATCATGCTTGTTATTATACTAAGGCAATTATATTGTAAATAAAAATACTTTACTAAACTTGTATGCCTGCGATATGAAAATTCCTTGTTCTGACTGGTACAGCAAGGAAATATTTAGAATAACGATATCTGAATTGGTCTTTCATACTGAAATAAATATATGGTTTGCTGCAGGCACGTAAGTGTGGCAATGTAAACTTATAATTTTAATTTTAAGTAGCTGCTGTAGTCACACTATATTCATGAAACACTAAGGAGGCACGTTCTCTTCCCGATGCTGGGTTCCATGTAGAACAGATTCACAAATGACTTCTTAAGATAGTTTCATAATACATAATTAAGCTAGGTGTGTCCAAAAAAAGAGTTACCCTTCAGTAATCCTCGCGTGAGGACATATAGTATGTTCAATGGTTTTCAGATGTAGAGATTGCGTTGGTCATTGAAGACCAAATAATAAAAGTGATGTATGTGTTTCAGACAATGAAAAATACAGTGCATTAAAGATGAGATTTAACTGAAATTAGCGCAAACAAAATGTGTTTTATTTTGAGTGTCCATCAATGTCCTTTTACATCATACTTGAGTTATACTGTCGATGCGTAGTTTAATGAACGTGTATGTTACAGTTACAGTACATGTTTGTGCAGATATATCCTCTACCAGGGCTACACATTGATTAACTAACAATTAACATATATATCTCCGGTTAATTTTGTGTACATTTTTGTGTGCCGAGCAAGCATTGTGCATAGTATTGGTGTGATCACTCAGCTGGCATCTGGAAGGAAGAAGTGTATCTATAAAGCCTGGGTCACACTGCGCTTGCAACCTTTTGGCAACCTCTTTGCAACCTCAGTCGCAAGGAGGTTGCCATAGGTTTTAAAATGGTCGCATAAGGTTGCTAACAGGTCGCCTGCGATCGGTGACACACGAAGGCCATTTTTTCTGCACCGACAACCAGTGCGACTAAAGATGAAAATTATCGGTATCCTAAAGGTTGCCTATCGGTCTCTTCTTGGTTGTCAGTAGGTTGCTATAACCAGTAGCATACCATTTGCAACTGCACGGTCGATTGACCGTATTTAGTCGACTGGTCGCTTACAAGTTTTTTACCAATCGCAAGTAGTCGGCAGCAGGTCGCCAGAAGGTTGCAGCTGTAACTTCATGGTCGATTGACGGTCTTTAGTATCTTGGTCGCAAACAGGTCTTTTACCGATCGCAGGCGTTCGAAAATATGTCGCAGGAAGGTTGCAAGCGACTGCAATAAAATAGGCGTAGGATGGTGGTCTATTTGGGCAAATTCTTTTTCATAATTTGTTATGTAAGCCTTCTAAATATCAAGGTCACAAATTATAATATTTTAGAAAAAAAAAAACATAAATTGCAGTTGTTGGCAATATTTTATACCAGTTGCCAAGGCTTTCATATACCAGGTATTTCACACCTACGAAACCAAAAAAAAAAAAAAAAAAATGTGATGATAAAAGCAATTTAAGATTTTTTGACGCTACGTTTATTTATTTTATCATTTTGCGAAAATCATAGGTTAAATGCCGAAAACCTCAATTATATATCGCTGTATGTTATTTAAAAAATTTTCAAAGCCATATTGTCAGAGAAACAAATACACAATGAAACAAATACACGAATGCAGAGAAAACGGAAAATAAAAGCAATTTAATCAGCAAGGTATAACTGCTATTTAATTACATAATTTCAACATCAAAATTATCCACAAATAATTGAACAAATCGTAAAATGTGTCCAATAGACTTAAATAAAAATAGTTTCAACACAAACAATTTAACATCTTCCCAGTGCTTGGTATCCTCACTACAAGGGTGAGAGTGTAAAAAGTACACGATGCGCATGACTTGTCACGATTTAATTACGTTGTATTGTAAGCGGCAAACGCCTAGGATAAAAAGACAAAGGGAAAACCACACATTCGGTTGCAAATCAGTTGCAAAGCAGTCGGCGACCTGTTAGCAACCGGTTGGATACCACAAGTAGGTTTTTCGGTCGCCAGGAGGTTATCGGTGCTGCACCGAAAACCGGCGCAACCGGATATTAACCCAGCGTTCATTTGGAAACCACTTTGCGAGTTGTTGCAACCGGTCGCCGACCTTTTTGCAACCGGTGACAGTTGCAAGTCGCAAAGAGGTTTTTTGTTCAGTGTGACCGTAATTGCACAGGCCTTGCGACCTCAAAGAGACCAAGTATGTGAACAAGAAAATATTGAGGAGTATTATGAGTTTAATAAGGATTAAAACGTTTTCAAGTTTATGTTTTTATTGCAGCACTGGTTTCGTTAGGTAAGGGTGTAGTCTTTTCAAAAGTTCACAAAACATTATTAATTCTATTTTTAGGAAGGAAAGGAAAACTTCCTGATTTTCAAGTCGAAGTTCTTTCATCAAATGTTTGTAAGCGCCTTACAAGGGGCGTCTTGCAATCCTTGGGTTCACCCAGTATTTTCGAGTTCTTTTACTCGTTTTACTTCTTACGTAAACAAAGTCAATGATTATAGCAGTCCCGTCTTTTTGAAAAGGAGTCGTTTTACTACAACATTTTTGTCTTTTGAGAGGGGAATTTATGGGAAAGCAGCTACTGTCACAAGTTGGCAACATATATGTCCTGAGCGACCTTGCTGCTACCAGTTGACAAGCGATTGCTACAGTCCTGCAACCGGTTTTCGGTCACCGAGTGGTTGCAGACAGGTTGTGTATCGCTCGGCAAACAGTGTGCGACTGGTAACCTACAACTTGAAGATGGCCTATAGTAGATTGCAGATACCATACTGCAACCTTGTTGCACCCGGTTTGCGACTGCTTGCCGATCAAAATTGGCCACAGCTTCTTAATTAGCTTGCAAAGTGATCGCAAGCGACCGCCAGATTTTGTGGTTGCAAAAAGGTTGCAAAAAGGTCGCAAGCGCAGTGTGACCCAGCCTTAAGATAAACCTTTAAGTCGACTGTTTGTATATATTCAACATATTGCATTCTCACATGATATTCAGAATGTATTTTTCTGCAATATTAAACACCTTTGCCGGCCAGTAGATCATATAGCATGGTTTATCTATCATGACAATGAGAGCAATTTATTGTAAAAATAATCTTTCGGAAGCAAAGGTAACTAAGTATATGCCCTCAACGCCACGCTTCCTTCTTCTAATTGGTACAATGAGGAAACATTTAACATTAATTGCTCTGTCGTACTAAAATACCTTAATGATATACTCCTGGTACGTCACATTGTCAATATTGACCTTTCATTCTAATTTCAAGTAGTTGTTCATGTCCTTGAAGTAATAGTGATTAGCGTTCTCTTGACTTCTCTGCGTTCCTTGTAGCAACAGAAAAACAACACTTGTTGAGATATTTTCATAAAATGAGATCAAGCTCCTTATGCCTAAAAGTATTAAGATTGTGGAAAGATTTGTTGACTCTTATTAAAAAAATGTGAGGTGAAATAATAGAATAGCCGAATTCACCTGTAACGTGAGCAAAACAGATTTACTGCATGGTCAGAAATATCAGCTGAGACTATTCCTTTTCACAAGGTGCATTCACAGCATCATGTGGCAAGATGGAGGAATGCTCTTATGTCTGAAACGATGCTTGATTAATAATAATAAAATAAGGAATTTATCATAAATTATGCACTACGGGACGGATTAGAAAATAGTTAAAAGTTTCCATCTAGTGCAGCTGTGTTAATGTGTTTTATTATGAATCACAACGAAGGTATTAAACACCTTAATGGTATGTTACATGCACGTTACGTTGACAATGTACACAATTCATTCTAATTTCAAGCAGTTGGTTATGTCAGTGACACATTATGGATGTGCGTTTTTTTCAAGTTGCTTGGTTTCTTGTAGCAACAGAAGAAAACACTTTGCTATATTATCAAAATACTAAATATACCCGGAATTTCTATTTAAATGATTACGTATATCCCCTTTATGGGGAATCCACGGTTTCGGTGCTTTTGTCTCAATGTTTGTGTTCTCTACTTTGATAAGCATCACCGTCTTTATAATATAAGAATGTACAATCATAGTCTGTAGATCACCACGTTTAATATGTAACGGAGCAAAGTAAAGTCGGAGTAAAACCATTATTAAAAAAGAAACCATTTCGAAATCATGGGTAGTTTTTTTTTTTTTTTTTTTGAGATTGCCTATATTCAATACCTGCAATATTGATGGTTATCTTTCTCACGTCTATAACGAGTGCAGAAATGTCAAAGTATACTAATAGTCTGCACCCTGGGTTTCGTGGTGGCTATGGAATCTACCGACAAACATTACATCTCGACGAGCCAATCACATTTCAATAAACCCCGTTACTCCTCATCTCAAGATAGCCAATTCTAAACATGCGTTTGCAAAGTGGTTTGTAAGGAAATCCCCACTTTCACTTGATCAACTTGTAATCCCCAAAGATCCCGCCAATTCACGCACACTATTCAAAAGCTCAAGGGTTGTGATTGATTAGAAATTGATTCATTGATTTCTATACTAATGTCGTTTGCTTGCAAATAGCAACCAACCCCATAGATAATTTATTTCATTTATAATTTGTTTTTTAAATCTAATTAATTACCACAAACAGCTAACAATATAAAAGTAGAATTGAATTGGCAAAAACACTTAGATACTAACAAATGACGAACATTGGCCATTTGATTAATAGACCTGATTTTTTCCCCAGGACACAGGGTCAAATAGACCGACAACCAACAAAATATGGATAGGAAGATGATTTTGTCTTTTAAGGCAACTGATATCCAGGGTATGACGTGTTATTTGTTCTTTTGCATAGATATTTACACAATTTAATGTTTGTCAAAGAAAGGATCTTATAAATTAAGATTAATTGCGTTCTGGTGAATAGGTTTCGACCGTAATAAATAAAATCACGTCTTTTTAATTCAAATTGGCCTGAATTGTTTTTCAATTGGTAAGGAGGGTTTTCACACCCAAATATTCATTGTACGCGCCGTGTACGTATATAAATTGGCGTTGTCTTAGATAATTCGTCAGAAGACGCTGTTAGACCTGGATCAAACTCATCCTTCATTGGAACCTCGACGTGGCTGCACCATAGAGGTGAGGTAATGAAGAGTTTACCAATTTACAATTTAATAGTAAACAGTACGTGGTATTTGTTGTAATATTTGGATAAATTGGTTATCATTTCTAATGCCTTTATTTTAGTTATTGTATAGTGGAGGAAAGCATTTCCAAAAATATTGTTTTATGTTTTGAATCTATAAATTCACAAAACAGTTATATGATGATAATAGCGACATGCCATATTAAATTGCCTTTCAGCCTGGTTATTGCTACGCTTTTCAGGCATAACATGAATTCGGTGCTATTTGTTTTTTCTTGTTTGCTGACTTTGAATTCTATACAAGGTAAGACAGCTTGCTTTGTTTATATCCCGTACATCTACATATATATTTTCATAATTTCATGTCCTGTGTTGATCGATAACACGTGTGACAAAAAAGTTTTGTTGCTATAAGTCAAAGAATGCGCGTAAGACCATTGTGTAGCTAAAATATTTTCTGGGAAATGCCAGCAATTAAAGAATTATTACCGTGATATTCTCTGAACCAAAACTCTGAGACGATTTTACGTCTTGGGGTATATTTCCTTTTCAGGGCACTATTGGACCACTTGGTATGATCGAGACAACCCTAGTGGTGACGGGGATCATGAAACTCTGTATGAACAAAAGGTGATAAAAATTACTGGTCATTTCAGCTGGTTAGTTGAATATATGGACGACTATTACATGGAAATAACTCGACGAGTTCTCGGTGGGCAATTCTCTGCAAAAAAAACAATAAATGAATAAATAAACGAGTAAATTTAAATGTAGAGATATTTGTGGCAATTAAGAAAGAACAAAACGAGAGAGAGAGAGAGGTTAGGCTTTGTCTGGCTTTCTGTGAAATGAGAAAATGGAAAAATGCACACATGAATATACCATGTTTATTAAGAGACTAGGTTACGTCTGTGGCGGATGTAAACCCATCGGAGCACAGTGTCGCGTGAGGGGATCAACCAGCACGTTCACGCGCTGGTCTGGAACTGCTCCAGATATATTGGCGATTCACTGTTTACCCACCAAAGGTCTGGCGTGTGTCAACTCCCAGCAGCCCGACTTATCCTGCAATGACTATGAGATACAATACTTGTGCCCATCAACGTGTAAGTGCTATGGAAAATATTTTATATTTAGGTGTACGTTACAATATATATATATATATAGATATATATATTGTATGGTTGTACGAGGGCGTAATTATATCATTGTTATCATAATCTTATTACTATGTCAAAAATGGTTGCAAGCATCGGTTATCTGGATATTATACATATCTTCATTTTGAGTTCCTCTATTATTACTCAGCTGGAACATGGACAAACTACTTAGATCGTGATGATCCTAGCGGCACTGGCGACTGGGAAAAAGTTTCATCTTTCAGGGTAAGTGTAGCCATATGTGATGACCATGTGTATTTAATGCTGCTGTCGCCTGCTTCTTATCATTTTTGTGCTTGGTCTATTCATAAAATATCTTTGTTCATTGTATTCATAAAGGATATACTAAGGTTGTATTATTTACAACTTAGATATGATCTCTTTTTCAGGGCGACGGCGTCAACCTTTGCAATGGCAGTCGCCCAATGTGCGCCCATTGTCGCGATGTAGTGAATCAAGACCATTATTACGACACTGGAGACACGTACAATACCAACTATGACTGTAGCTGGGAGAATGGCTTGGTTTGTACTACAGCAGTCAACGGGGGGACCTGCCAGGATTACGAGGTGCAGTTCAAGTGCCCAACCATATGTAAGTCGCCTTACAAACCGTCGAATGTGGACAGAGTAAGTGCACCACGTAGACCCACACCATCTTTCGCTGGTCCACTGAGATTTAATACTAGTCCTTTTACTCCTTTACTCAACTCCTGGTAATTTGTGTTTTCAGGAGCTACGACAGCTTAATAGTTTATTTATAGCCATGTAGCCTTTCACGAATCTGAAATAAATTCCAGTCCTTACTGCACCTCCTTTTATAACTAAACTCACAGGCACCTGTAGCTCATGTTCTTGCGCAACGTGGACATCTTGGTTAGACAGAGACAGCCAAGGCGGTAGTGGAGACTATGAACTCGTGGGACCAACGGGACATAATCCGGTAGGTATTACCCAGCAAACAGAACGTTTCAAAACGTTACCGTTACGTTCTTTGGTTATATATTAAGGTTCTGTGTTTGCTCGGTATAGTCTTTAATTTGATCCTTGAAACTGGCAGGTATTGTTGCCTAATTCCCAAAACGTGAAATCATGTTTATGTATAAAAAATGTTTAAACAGAGCGCAATTAAGCATTATTGTGGTAGTTTCAATAATTTTATCGAATATTCGGTGTCCATATTTACATTCCAAAAAAGATGAAAATTTGACAAACTTTGGGACAGCATAGCTGAAGTGGTAGTTTTTAGCTTCAAATATTTGTCGTATATGTTATATATACCTTTAGTTTTCGATAAAAAAGGATGAAGTGGGCGGGAACTTTATGCCAACAATGTGCATTCTTTACTCAAAGAAGGGCAGTTTACATGTTTTAAAAGACGTGGGATTTGTCTCATATTTCAGAGTACAATTACTCCGTCAATTTTTCCTATTTGAAATTGTCATTGACCACAAGAACAAAACATTGACTTAGATATGCACACGATTTATTATAATATTGTTAAAATCGAGTACTTAGTAATTATTAACAAACGTGGATCGGTCCTTACACGCAGGTTGCCATCGAATCGTACTGAACGCTTCTTCATTTCAGGAAACATACTTTATTACGGATATAAAAAATAATAAAAATAAACACATTGCGTCGGGTGAAGTAGTATTCTACATTGGTATCCAGAAAAACAATTCGACTTTAACTTAAAGCAATAATAACTCTTCCTTTGAGATTCAAAATTCCACAAGAAATACATTCTAAACAACGCATGGAAATATATTATATCGCATTTCATCACTAAAACGGCTGTTATTGAAGTAAAATTGAGAAATGTGCTTGTCAAAAGGTGCCTTTCTTCCCGGTCGTTAAGGCAACCGTTGCCAAGGACTTTGGCGTGTCACGCGGATTCTCGCGTTCATTCGAGACCAAATAACATTTGGCGGGATAAGATATAGCAGGCGCATGGTACAATCCTCAGACGTAAGTTGCGAGTTTTTGTACAGTGCGTCGGATATAAAAGGCCCAGAACTGCACACATTGTAGATATTAATGCATTTTGAGCAATAAGACGATTATATCGTATGAATCTTATTTTATTGTAATAAAGCATTGTTGTTGTCTGCTTTTCCCGCGGTTTTAAGTGGGTCACCAGAAAACCCCGCTCGATATCGCGTGACTATGCAATATCAGATAGGCCCCCGTCAGTTAAAATCTTAAGAGATTTTAACAAAAAACCAAGCGTTTAGGAAAAAAATACTTGAGTAACTTTGAATGCAGGAATGGGGTCGTTGACCATTGGTAAGTACGGGAAAATTGCCGTTTACTCCAGGAAAATCCAATTTTTGGTCAAAACGAAGAGTTATTATGACTTTAAGTTTTTTACTTTTAATTAACCACTTTTAGACGCTGTGTATCTTTGGGCGAGGAATCGTGCGTACAATTTCCAAAAGACAGTGACACCCTTATTATGATTGTGACAAAAATATGACAGATGGTAATAAAGGCGTCTTCTTTCCTTTTTCAAGTGCTCCAGTAATGAACCCATTGACATACAGTGCCGTGTCAGAGGAACCAATCAGCCATGGGATCAGACTCATCAGGTGATCAGAGTAAAGTGCACGCCCTCTGAAGGGTTCGCCTGCGTCAACAGCGACCAACCGATTGGGCAATATTGCTACGACTACGAAGTTCGTTTTCTGTGTCCATAAATTTGCTTACTCCCATGCACCCGGGAGACAAGGAAGAAATGACACAGACAACATGTTAAATGACATACATTATCTGACATAAACGTAAATAATTTCGAATGGATTTTACATTTTTAGATATATATCAATTTCGAAGGAATCGGATAAATATTACCTTTTAATTAATTCTGAAGTGACAGTCTGTAAAGTATAAAGATAGGTCTCCCAATACCAGGTGTTCAGCATTCTGTTGGGTGCAATACATAAAGCAGTGCTTTTAAACACTTCTAGTTATTCTCACACATGCGGGATCACCTATTAATAACTGATATTTAATTATGAGATGTTTTTGCGGAAAGCATAAAGATAGAGAGAACCTGATGCAGATAACAGTTTATGGCGTTGCAGACGATTCGGGGTGCTGAATGGATTGGGGGTGTAGACGTATGACCACAAACAACAACATTTTGCACCTTAAATGCTAAACTGGAGTCCTGAGAACATCATTAAATTGGTCATATCACTGCCGCCTATGCTTGGCGGAAGAACCTATTATCATGACAGGAATTCACATTTGCATTTTTTATTAGAAAAACATAATACAGGTGGGGTGTAGGTTCTGTGGGGTAAAGCATTTTAAAATATTGAAAACTGAACGACTGATTCCTGTCTTCAGATGTTTTCTATTGATGGTAATTTCAATGTGACGCTCGTGGTTTCCATGCATCAACATCCAAACATCAACATCACTTCACAAACATGAGCAGTAACTGTCACTTACATCAAAGGAATCGAAACATTTCGGGAATTGAAGCGTATTATCCCATCGTTTATAAGCATACATGTAGCTTCTAAAGCCTAAAAGGCCTTACACCCCTTAATTTCTCATAAGCTCATTAATATTTTATACAACGCATATGTCTTATCTCTCAGTGATTACTTGTGATGTTCTCTACCATTCAGCGAGCATAAGAAACCTCTCAAAACTCCCTTCGATTCACTACCAATCGGGTTTACTTGTCCTGGGTGCTTTGCCTGGTTCTGATACATCCAAGGTACTAATGCAAATGAACTGGACAACACTTAAAGACCAAAGTATAATGCATGCCAAAAAAATAATGTTCTCAATTCACCATAATCTTGCTCCTCCGTACCTTACTGAATATTTCCCATCTTTTAGAAATCCATCTGCTTCACACGCTGGACAATTTGTTAGAGACTACATAACCCCTGCCAAATTAACTTATAAAGCCCCTGAATACTTCCTTATGCCTTCACGGAACAGTCTTAATTTAGAGCAGAAGAGCCCAAGTGTTGCATTACTCAAGTATTCTCTCAAAACTGAACTTTTCTCTTGATCCCGATCTATGATCACTTAAAGGCTTGCTAGGATATAAGAAATGCATCTTAATCGGGCTCGCATAGACCTTTCATTCAGGTCTCAACTTTATAAGCATATTTGGCTATCTTTAAACACTCTTAACTGTCTATGTGGTAAGGCTGAAACTCGACGATATTTCTTCTTTCGATGCCCCCTTAAAAAGACGAATTATTGTAATTTCTATAAAGCAATCTAAAATATACTCGGAGATGACTGAATTAACTTCAGAACGCAATAAGATAAAATTAAACTCTAATAGACAATGTGTGACTTCATATATGAATTATCCAATCGACCGCCCTCGGGTTGATTCCTTCCCACTGCCTATCTCCTCCTACAGCTGCCCTCCGATGTGCCAGGCCCTCCACCCCCCTGTAATTAACTAATTTTCAAAATTATTATTTCAGTTTTTATCATAAACATTTTTTTCTTTTCTTTTCTCTTTTATGACGTTATCTTAAGATTAGCACATAAAGCTTAAATCAATTTGCCATCTGTATACTATTTGCCATCTGTATACTATTTATGATTCTAATAAACTAATTTATGTGTTAAAAACGAATTGCTGCTTTAACCTTTTTGGGGGTGAGGGAGAAATGTATTTGAACTTTGTTGAACAGTTGTACTGTTAATTGGTTTTGTTCACCTCGTAGATTCATCAAAACTTTTCATGTGTGAATGCAGTTTTATTTTTGTTGATTTTTAGGGAAAAGTAATTATAAGTCACCGTATTCTATTGACACACCTTTATCTCAGTTTGTTAATAATTCAGTAAACTGAGTAGATTGGGTTTGGGAACAATGTATGTATATTATACTTGCGCGTTGAATTAAACAGATTTACTGTAATTTTCATCAACGCATGTAGGACATTAGAGAAAAATTGGACATCACCCCCTGCAAATACCAATTCAGAGATGGGGCAGTCTTTTCTCACAATTCTGAGAGTGGAAATGGGGTGTTTTCACAATGCACACATAACCATTAAAGATGAAACTGAATTCGAATGCGGGAATTGAATAAAAAAGAAAGAGCAGGTAAAAATGCAAAAACACTAGTATGAGTAGTTACTTACACCCCACACCTCAGTCTCTCCGTTATGTAGCAAAACCTTAATTCAAAGACAGACTTAACTAGTTTTGGTTTCAACAGTGCATTGTGTTAAATTTGAAGGTTCTTGACCGTTGTTGAGGTAAAATTAAGGTTAATTAGCATTGACATTGCGTTATGTGAATGAGCAGGATATTTGAATTTGAAGATATCCCCAAAATATCCTCATTGCCTGAAAAATTAAATCGGTTTCTTATGGATTATCTTATTTCAAGATTAAAATTTTTAGAAAAATAGCATTATGGATTATTTTGTAATACTTTTAGAACTTCCTTTTCATTTATCAGTGAAAATTGCAGATATTTAAATGAAATGTCACAAATCAAAATATTTTTCAAAAGAATTAACTAATAAAACTGATTTTTACAGAACTGCCGAGTAAATACAATAGAGCCATAATTTGAAAGTTCCTCTGGGAACGTGTAAGGAGTGTCCGTCCTTCTTGCTCTTAATAGTACATTATAAATATACTTTAATCAGTAAAACACAGTGACTTAAAAACAACTACCTGTAGCTGAATAGATTGGGGGGAGAATAAAAACCAGTACAAGGGTAGCAGGTACATCGAAGACAGTTTGCTTCTTTTAATATCTATTTTATTCTTAATCATAATTTCTGTTTCTATTTCTGACAAATCCTTTACTCGTTCAAGCTGTTTTATGGTTTTTGCCTGAGCTATAGACTAAGTTGCTAGTTATTATTATTATCATAAGGGTTAATTATTTGCCTGTCTCTCATTCACTCCATGATGCTTCACGATGAGCAAAATCTACTTTCAAAGGCCATATGTTGCGATTTCTGTTTTTGTCAAGGCATTCTGATTTATCTTAAGATTTTAATTAGTGTTTGGGAGTTGAGGTAAAATATGATGGCAATAGGACAGACGTCGCATATTTAATGAAATGGTTGAGCCAGCTGACAGCATCTATTTGTCGCAAACGTTGAGCAT